GTAGGTTTGTAATTCATAAACACAAATTTCTCTCTTGTGGCTTTAGCATATTGTTTTTGAGTCTCATTCACTAGGTGTGTAGGTCTGGTAGTTTGCTCCAGAGTCATTCTTAAGGTGAGAGATTCACAAGTTGGTTCATTTGAACAAGAAAGGAATTTTAGGTCCTTGGCTATTTTGCTGATGGGTTTCAGTTAATAAGATACATTGCTGGGGTGGCTTACTTGAAAGAAGCACAGATTTTTCTGTGATGCTTATGGTATGTTTTAAATTAACATTTTCAAGGACTGATTGTTTTTGAATCTGTTGAAAAGTGTTTAGGCCAAATTCTTTCTTGTAAATATTTAATGGAAAATTGCATCTATTTCAATCATCTGCAGCTTGAAAAAAATCGTACTAAAATTCACTTTTTGCCAAGTGAGAGCTAAGACATATATTTCCAAATAGTATTTTAAATTATGGTATGTAAATATTGGCCCTTTTTGTATTTCAGAATGGAATTTTAAAAGTGTATCTTCTTTTGTTTTGCTATATAATTTGATTACCAAAAGAAAGGTATAGACTAGACTACATGAATATCAAAGAATATTTTTATTCTATATTAGTAATGGGTGAATTGGTTCCGATAAAATGTGCAAAAAGTGATCCTTTCCTTCCTCTTCCTCAGAACACAGATGTTCTGTTTTTAGAACCAAACCCTGCTTAACGTGAAATGTTTGGAAAGTGGCCTTTCTCTCTTCCTCCCTCCCCCGCCTCCCCATTTGCATCTTCTGGCTGGGACTTCTGAAATATCATGAAAAATGGTGCTGTTATGATATATTTCCAGATGTTCTAGGTTGCGTTGGGAGGAGTCTGTGCCCATTAAACCAAAGTTGTGGAGGGAGAATCAAGGCTATTGGTCTTGCCCTTGAAGATAGGAGGAAGCTAGTTCTTCCATTCAGTCTGTAGAGGAAAGAGGTTGTGCAGGAAGGATTCGATACTAGCAAGGCCTTTTAGGGAAAGAGTGGTTGGGGGAATGTCACGGGGTCCCACCCAAGTTTGGATAATTTTAAACATGAATCATATATGTCTGAACTATTAGATGCTGATTGAAACAGACCCTAAACCTTTGGAGCTTCACCTACTACTAGTCAGGTTTCCTACTAAAGTTAAGGCTTTTTCACATTCAAATATGACTGCTCAAGTGTCAGAATAAAAACATATGAACAATAATATGTATCATACTAACATCACCATCAATGGTACAGCAAGATGAGAGGGAGAGATTCATTTATTTGGACATTTATGACCTGATGTGCAGACAGCTAAAAAAAAAAATTGAAGTTATTTGCCCTAGTATGCTATTTGTAGTTTTGTTTTATTTTGGAGTTTGGTACATTTGGTTATACTGGATAATCTGGATGCTGCCATTCACTTTCTCACCTTTTTTATTGTTAATATCCAGTCACTTGTTTGGTTGCCTTTATGTGGAATTATTCCATTTGCTTTTTATTTTCTTGCCTTGAGAGTTAAAAATGGAAATATCCTGGTTAATGTCATATTCAGGGCAAAAAAAAATTATCGTAAAGAAGCTGTGAAATTTTAGGAAGATATTGTAAGGTGAGAGAGACCTCATCTTTTATTACCGTAGTTGAGTCATAGTTTGGCATAGTTTAGAAATAGCTCAGTAGTGGTGCGTGTGGACCCCCCAATACAGATACTTTAAAATTTAATTCCTCTTCCTATTCACATCTGCTCCTTTAAAAAAAAAAAAAAAAAAAAAGAAAGAAAGAAAGAAAAAAAAAAAGAGAGAAAAAGAAAAAAGGGGGTCGGGCCTGAAGGTTCAACTGTAAAAATCTTTTGTTTTCACAGAGGGTGATGAAATTGGCACTCTTTCCTTTTTCAAAACAGTAATTTTATGAAATGTAAATAATTTCAGTTCTTTGTATACTTACTTCTAGTTCCTGTTTTTTATGGAAAAGTTGGCATGTCTAAAAGTATTGTTCAGTGTAATTCCTGAGCATGTGAATAGCAACTAGGGATCCTCATACAAGAGTATGATTTGTCCCTCTAGTATCAGAATTGGGCCTTCACTGAGTCCTCACAGAGATCCAAGCGTTCTATTCCGAAGGTGTAATGGTAATCTTGATTAATATGATTAGAGCCTTAGGAGGCAAGCAACTGAAGCTGCAGTTTGTTTCAAAGGGGTGTGCAATGCAAATCAAGTTTTATTATAAATACTCTGTCTATTATCTTTGTAGCCACTTCATAGATCAGGTGGCAATTGATTTCCATTATATATTTTGCTTTCCCTCCCCCCACTGTCACCTTAAATCCATAAGAAAGGAAATATTTGAAAAAGTATTCTAACTTTAGCCAAAAACGGAAACAGAGGAGAGAGATGAAATTATACGTATTGCATTCACCTACTTTTGCTCTGTCACACAGGAACGAAGTTTGGTTGATAAAACTGATTTTAAAAGTTAAGATTTTAAATCGGAGTGCTACTATGGTTCTGCTTTGTCAAGCTTAAAATAGGATGTTGATTGATTACTGGAGACACAAGATTTCTAAAATCTCTTTCCTTTGTGAAGTTGGACCTCAAAATGAGTGCCAACTGTAGGGAATATCAGTTGAAAGAGAAGAATTTTTCCACTAAAATTGAAGTTAATCAGGCAAATATTAAAAGTGGTTGTCACCATAGTTAAAATATTATTCTAGCTCTAACCTCCACCCCAACTTTAGCTTCAGGATGCAGAGCTGTTAACATTTAAAAGTCAATGTATTGGATAAATCTATTTGATGTGAGGAAAGGGGATCCCTCCTGCACCCCCAAGTCTCCTTCTCTTTCCTGCAAACCACCTAAGATAGTCACCTCTTGTGGATCTTAGGATGTCTGCAGGAAGGTGTACACTGGTGGGTTGGAGAGCCCCCGGCATTTGGGGGGACATCAACGGAGGGGGAAGCAGAGTGGTTGCACCCCTTCTACAGATGTTTAGCATGGGAATGGAATCTTTGGGCCTCATTTATACATTGTAACAAAGCAAAAAAGGACACAAGCCCAATATAATTTTTTGTTTTGAGCTAGTCATGTCTGGCGTCTGCTCCCTGACTGCCAAGACGTGTACCAGGGCCACAGCTGGTTTCAGAGCATGGCCCTCCTTCTATGCCACCTCAGGATTGCCTTGCCACTGAGACCCAGCTGTAAACCTCCAGAAGACCTGGCAGCCTTATGTGCCTGGTTTTCATTATTTTGCTTGCAGATACATGACACTCCTCACCTGACATGTTTGCTTTGTCCTGAAACTGGGGATACAGTAAAATCAGCTATTCAGAATGCCAGACTCTGATTTTCCATCTGGGATCCCATAAAAGTCCTGTATTCAATTTGAATGGCATCATTCAATTGCTTGAATTCCCTGTGTCCCTAGACCTAGTTGGGCTGCGGTTGTTGGTGCCCCAATCCTGAATAAGTGGAAACCAGAGACATGTGCAGGTAGCCATGATATTGTTGGGTCCTTTCTTAAAACTGCCACTGGCAACTAGTTTCCCAGTCCATGGGGTTGCAGACATCCTGACAGATGGCAACACAGTTTATGTGCCCAAGTGATAAATGAAATCATGTAGTTGTTTGATGAGTTTCTTTATCTTTATTAACATGCTTCAGAAAACTCTTCTGGGCCCTACTATATTTCATTAGTTATTGTTTAAAACGATTTCCATATTCAGACTATTATTTTTCTGGCATCCAAATGCTTTATAATATTGAAGTAGTGGTTTTGTGTTTGTGATAATGAACATTATTTATTTTTAACCAAGAACAAGAGTAACATCTTTCTTTCTGTCTTTCTACTTCTGCCTACTAAATGGCTATGGGAAAGTAAGTCAGCTTTTAAAAAATCTGCTGTTAACTTTCTGCCTTACGATGTTCATGGCACTGCCAAGACTAATCCCAGAAAAGCTTGCAGTGAGCATTTTATGATCCTCCTAACCATGCTGCAGTGAACTAATCTGGCTTTAATATATTGTCAGATAAATTAGACACACTGAAGTTCTTGCAGTTTCTTATGGGTGTTTTTCTTAATGCTTCCCATCCACCAATTGGTCATCAAACTCTCTTCTCATTTAATGATTCTGCCCTCACTATTTCATACATTAATATTGTTAAGCCAAATAAGACACAAGAGAGGGGAAAATGTTCTGTTTTTTTCAAGATTTTTAAAGTATACAGAATGGTTTTAAGAGAATGGTAAGAATCTGTCACATTAAATTCTTTTCTAAATTTTATGAAGGCTTATATGCGTATTTGAATATCTCAAGAGAACATAGAGTTGTAATTCTGCCTGTGGAGTTCATGTTTAATTTCTAGACTAAAAGGCTGGAAATTTGTGGCTTAGTCCTTAGATTCTTATGCATTTTTGTTTTTTATGGTAACACTGAAGTCTGAATAAGTCTGCACTTGGATTTTTGACTAAAATTGCTCACCAATTAGCAATTAGCTCACAGCGGGAGCACTAATGTAGACAGGTCTGCATAAAACAGTGCTTAAAAGCCAGAAGCAGCAGGTGCTGGGCATTGCACTTGCATCATCCTTGCCATCCCAGGAGCTGAACCTGGAGGTAGCAATGGTGGGAAACATAGCCAAAAGTTCAAACTGTAAAGAGGGCTTTCATGTGAAAATCTTGTGAGCCTGTTACTTTTTAGAAAAACCTTGATTTCTGATCTGTAGTCCTTGCACAAAATTTCCACTGGCTGTAGGGTTTAATCCTTTGGCTTTTAAAGTCTGAGTAAATTACTTTGGTTTTATCTCTCTAAAATAGGGAGGAAGAATAAACTAGACCAATTTATATGGCGGATTTACTAGTGTGAAAATGTTTTTTTTTTTTTTTTTTAAATTAAGCTGGTAGTACTCTACACTTTTACATATAAAATTTGTATTTTTGTTTTGCTACAACTGTGTGTATTAAAGTATTGTGAAGGGTATTTGTTGACAGTAAACTAACGTATTTTAAACTTTTAAATAGGTGTCTCAATGCATGTACCTACTGCAAAACCAAGCATGCCAGAGGAGACCTAGCAAGTTATCCAGTTGAAGAACTAGTGGACAGAGCCAAACAGTCTTTTCAAGGTAAGGTTATTCAAGTTACCTAAATCAACTTTAAGATTACAAGATCTTACTCCCACAGGTAATTTCCTTTTTATAAGATAGACTTGGTGGTAGGTTAATGTATTATTTGTATTACAAAGATGTTGAAAGTGTTCTTGCTGGTGCCTGCTGTAGTTAATTCCTGCATTCATTACATTATGCACCAGTACTTTCAGGAGTTAGTATTTCCACAGAAATATTTCATTGGTCTTAGGCCTGGTCTACACTCAGGGTGAGCAAAGTCGGTCTAAGCTACACAACTTCAGCTATGAAAATAGCGTAGCTGAAGTTGACATGCTTAGAGCTACTTACCACGGTGTATTCACTGCAGTAGGTCGACTGCTGCTGCTCCCCCGTCGATTCCGCCTACGCTTCTCGCTCCAGTGGAGTACTGGAGTCGATGGGAGAGCGCTCGGCAGTCGATTTATTGTGTCTTCACTAGATGGGATAAATTGATTCCCTCCCTCCCCCCGCTGGATCGATCGCTGCGGAGGTAAGTGTAGACGTGCCCTTTATCTTGTTTATATAAAGGTCCATCTCAAGGTTTATTGAGGATGATGATTTGAATTTTTTTTATTTATTTATTTTTGCCCTTCTTAAAAATAGGAGGGAAGAAAGTTTTCTGATTTCAGATCCTTTTGTGTGACACAGAATAAAAATTGCTTGTGTTTTAAAAGTAATTTTAGAGGCTCTTAATCCTTCACTTTATGTATTGTAAAGTAATAAGAACAATTATTTTCCATAGAATGTATGCTTACAGTAAAAGCAAATTTAATTAAAACCTCATTAGAGTTCTTATGATGCTGTGTTTTTAGGATGTATTGCTGTTCTAAAAATAAAAGGAGTACTTGTGGCACCTTAGAGACTAACCAATTTATTTGAGCATGAGCTTTCGTGAGCTACAGCTCATGCTCAAATAAATTGGTTAGTCTCTAAGGTGCCACAAGTACTCCTTTTCTTTTTGCGAATACAGACTAACACGGCTGTTCCTCTGAAACCTGTTCTAAAAATGGGTCTTTTGGAGTTCCTCTAGGATGTTTCTGTCTGTGATGTTGGGTTTAAGGATTCATTTTGAAGCAATTAAGATCCACAGTATCTCTTACGAGGAGCTATTATATGCTTAAAATCTAAATGGAAAAATTTTAATGACATCTTTTGATTTATTATTGGATATGTGAATGTTTAATCGGGGTGGCTACAAAGCTGCCATTTCCTAAGTTTTTATCCGCCCATAGCTCATACACTTGCTTGGGAAGCACTACAATCCTCATGGAAGAATTCTAATGTTTACAGTTTGTCCCTAGATAGATCTCTAACTTTACCCTTCCTTCAAGTAAATACAAATACAGCTATTGTGCCAATTTCATGCCTTGTGTAAACTCACTAAAGTAAATGGCATTGTTCCATTGATTAATTTGCCCACTATGTTAAAGTAGTACAAATGTTCTAATTTAAATCAAGGGAAATGAAATTGAATGGCTTCTCTCTACAGCCTTAAATCTTCTTGTTGCATCTAGATGTAGTGACAGATATGGTGTGTGATATCTCATTTCTTTTTAGACATCTGCAGTGTCTACGAACAAGAAGTATGGGTTATCCTTTACTTAACAATGAATGTTCTTGTTTCTGTGAGTTCAAGTTGGAGCTTAGATATTATTTTAATATGTTTTTAGTGTTTGACTAAAAACGTACATGGATGCTACATAAGTAATAAGGCCACAGCACTTAAGAAAGTTCTAAATCCACCCTTATTTAGGGAACCACTTAAGCACAAATCTTCCATGGGACTTAACCTCCCTTTGTGAGTAGGAATGCTTACAATCAAGGCCTAAGCTTACAAGTTTTTATTTCAACATGCACAGTATACTCCTGGGGGAATTCTGTGCCACTGGGCATGCACAGAATTTATGTCCCCTCCTCCCCTCAGATTTCTTTGCTTCCCTGCACAAAAATGACTTTCTGATGGGGAAGCAAAGGGAAGCCACAAGAGCGGTCATGCGACCCTCCCCAGCAGTATGCTTCGGGTGCCCAGGGTAGCCAGCAGAGAGGTAAATCACTGTGGGGCAGGGGACAAGACTGGGGAAGACCCGGTTGGTGGCTCCTACCCTACGCCAGGCTCAGCTGTTAGTCCCGGCTGGGCTGGGGAGGACGGGCTTCCTCCTCCCCTGAACGGTATCCAGGGCTGGGTAAGACCCACCCCCAGATTTCTCCTCCAGCTGCAGGAAGCTCTGCAAACACCCCCTGCCCCTACTTCCTGCACCCATCACTCCTCAGCTGCAGGGGGAGGGAGCTGCACCCCCATCCATCCAACCCCCTGTGAATCCAGACCCCTTCATACCCAGACCTTCCCACTGAGCCTCACCCCCTGCTCTCTGAACCCCCTGCCCTCCCAATGAGCCCCACTCCCCTTACATCTGGACCACCCTGATGAGCCACCCAGATCCCCACCGCACTGAGCCCCACTCCCCCAGTATCTGGACCCCCCACTGAATGCCCCACACCCAGACCCCTCTGCCGAGCTCTATCCCCCACACTTGCAGATTTCCCCTGCTGAACCCCAACCACCTTCATCTGGACACCCCTGCAGAGTCCCATTACCATTGCACCCAGAACCCGCCAACAAGCCCATGTGCCTCCAGATGTCCCTCTGCACCTGGATCCCCCACTGAGCCGCCCGCACTCAGATTGCCCCACACAGAACCCTCTCAACCCACATCTGGATCCTCGCATACTTGGATCCTGCCTTGCTGAGCCTGCTTGCTCACACCTGGTGTACCTGGCACAGAGAGGCAGGGCCCTGGGGTATTTCTGGGTGTTTCGGTCCTTGCACTGTGTCAAGGTTCCTTCCCCACTCTGAACTCTAGGGTACAGATGTGGGGACCTGCATGAAAACCCCCTAAGCTTATTTTTACCAGCTTCGGTTAAAACTTCCCCAAGGTACAAACTATTTTACCTTTTGCCCTTGGACTTCATTGCTGCCACCACCAAGCGTCTAACAAATATATAACAGGGAAAGAGCCCACTTGGAAACATCTTTCCCCCCAAAATCCTCCCAAACCCTACACCCCCTTTCCTGGGGAAGGCTTGATAAAAATCCTCACCAATTTGCATAGGTGAACACGAACCCAAACCCTTGGATCTTAAGAACGATGAAAAAGCAATCAGGTTCTTAAAAGAAGAATTTTAATAGAAGAAAAAGTAAAAGAATCACCTCTGTAAAATCAGGATGGTAAATACCTTACAGGGTAATCAGATTCAAAACATAGAGAATCCCTCTAGGCAAAACCTTAAGTTACAAAAAGACACAAAAACAGGAATATACATCCCATTCAGCACAGCTTATTTTATCAGCCATTTAAACAAAACAGAATCTAATGCATATCTAGCTAGATTACTTACTAAGTTCTAAGACTCCATTCCTTTTCTGTTCCTGGCAAAAGCAGCACACAGACAGAGAGAGCCTTTGCCCCCCACCCCCACCCCCACCCCCCAGCTTTGAAAGTATCTTGTCTCCTCATTGGTCATTTTGGTCAGGTGCCAGCGAGGTTATCCTAGCTTCTTAATCCTTTACAGGTGAAAAGGTTTTTCCTCTGGCCAGGAGGGATTTTAAAGGTGTTTACCCTTCCCTTTATATTTATGACACACTGTGTTACGGTTGGGTACAGACTCACCACTGAGTCCGTGTCCCAGGGGTAAGGGGGAGCTGCACAGTGATCTCCCACCTCTGTGCAGCCAGTGGCTTGTGCTCCCCAATGCCATGCTGGAGCCCCTACATTTATCTGACAAATAAAAATTGCAAAATTTAAAAATATGGTGAATAGAATTTTTTTTTGGCACAGAATGCCTTCCTGAGAAACATTACCAAACAAAGTATCTATCCAAGATTCTAAATGCTCTTTATATATATTAAATGTAATGCTCTTGTGAGCTAAACAACCTCCTCCTTCAAATCCTCCACAAAGCCTATCAGTAATTCGCTACAAGATTTTCTCCCTTTCGTGAAGCATGTGCTATCAACTGCTAGATTATTCCCCCCCCATGACTGAACTGGATTGTAAATTCCTGGAGGCAGGAATCCAGTCATATTTTAGAATTGCCTTTTTAATAGATCTATATGGTATAAATGTATAGAGTAACAGTTCTCAGACTTCATTGGTTCATGTACCACTACTTGAAAAAAATCATTGTGAAGTAAATTGATGGCTCATCAAGCTCACTTGCCTCTGGAACCCCCTGTAGAGTCTGCAGTCATTCAGTGATGTTGTGTTAACTAATGTAATGCGGATACCATCACAGGATATTGCAAGAGTTAAGTTCAGTTGCTATTTTTATCTCTTTAGTGCTAGTTGGTGGAATAAATCATGCAGCATCAAGTATAGCTCATTACATTAAGAGAGAGAATAATTTATAACAGTGTTGTCAATCTTATGTCTATCACTATATATTCTCAGTCATGTGTATTAAAAACAGTCTTTTCAAGGGGAGGAGACCTTATCCCCAGTTACACTGTTTGTCTCCAGTTGGAAGTATGTGTTTGTGGAGGTTACAAGTTTTCATCAACAATGAAGTATGAAATTGCAGTTCAGGATAATGTGTTTTAATCTTGATAAATAATTTAGATGATACAGGAATAACCATTGTTTGACATGCTTTTCATCAATGTATATGCAATAAACATTTTAAATAGGAATATATATGACATTATTTTTTATTATTATTATTAATATTGTGGTATCTATATCAAATATCCATTTTGAAATTTTATCTAATTTGAAACAACATTGAATAAGTGAATGTGACAAATGAAAAATGTGGTAATGAAGATAACAGCACACTTTTACTGAGGTTAGCTATTTAGATTATCTGGATTTTTTGTCAGTTTGGTGTGGATGATTTTGTTAGGCAAATGCAACTATAGAAGTAGGAGAAGTTAGATTGAAAGAGGGTAATGTTAATATCATATTGAAGCAATTATACTTGTG